TATTTTTTATTTAATATAAAAAAATTATAAAGATTAGTTAAAATTTGAATGATTTTTATTAAAAGCAATTATTGATTTTTATATTGAGATACAAATCTTTTTGTACTGACCCATACTTTTTAAATAATATTTTTATTAATATAGATATATATTTTTATAATTAGATAACAGTTATTATATTCAAATATAATTTATCAATCAATAAAAATCATAAAATGATCTATAAAAATTAGTCAAATATAATGAAAGTTTGCTATGCTGAGTTTAGTAAAAAGTATAAATATCACATATCAGTATAATTATCTATAGCTTCCTTTTTATAATTTATTCAGTCTTTAAGTATCTTGCACTATATGAATATCAAGTAAACAATTTATTCTTATACGTGAAGAAACTTATTTTGATGAACTACGTGTCAACAAGAAAAACGTGAGAAAAATAATTAGATGAGATAAATGTATACAGAATGCATTCTCAGATGTGAAGAGACTAATTTTGACGAACTACGCGCTAACAAGAAAAATAAATTAGGGTGAAATAAATAGTATATGTATAGTAAATAGTCTAAATTATAAAATACATGTAATAAAAAAGAATAATTTTGGTTTCCATCCAATCTTTGAATTTTCTATCAGCATTTCATCTAATCCCAATTAGAAAATCACTGCATCTAAAATTCTAAACTCTAAATCTCTAATGAAATCTAAAGAAAAGAAACCAATTGTTCGTTCAAAAGCAAGAAAGACGCCTTTCCCATAATAAATAGCTACGTAAACAATTATCTATCTATTACTAACGGACTAGCCAGATTCAAGAAAGGATGCATCAGTAACTCTGAAGCGCTAGGTCGTTTACTAGGTTGAACAGTTAGACAATCACGGAGAAAAGATTCGAATTCAATGGAAATGTTTGCCGGAAGTGGTGGCGTTCCTACATCTTTGATGAATTGTAGAACCTACCCGATATAATAATAGTTTATCATAAGTATTATAATTAGCCGATTTAATCTATAATAACAATTATAAAAATCGAAATTGATAATTTACCATTCGTTGACCTAATGGATGCCATGGTGGCCTACCATCAACTAATTCTATTGCGGTGATACCCAATGACCAGATATCAACTTTATTGTCGTATAGCTCATCGAATAGTACTTCTGGTGCCATCCAATATATCGTACCAACTGTAATAGAAGCACGCGATTGCAGAGATATTGATCCAAAATCAGCTATTAAGAATCGATAGAAAAAAAATCCAATTTATCAATAGAATATAAAGAAAGTTCTCTCTTAAAATATAAAATAAATAAATAACAATTACCAATCTTTATCTGACAACTTTCGGTCACTAACACATTCTGCGCCTTAATATCACGATGTATGAATCCCAATTCATGTAGATATTTCAATCCTAACAGAATTTCGCGTAGAATGAATGCAATTTCTGGTTCAGTTAATTTTCGTGTTTTGAGAGTGAAGTCCAAGAGACTTCCACGCGAACAGTACTCCATTAGCAGATATAATGTATCATCGGAAGTTCGATATTGTGATATATTTTCCACGATGTTTGAGTGACGTAGTACTCGTGCTGCCTTCACTTCGGCGTATATCACGTTAAGGAGTTTTGATTCGGGAAGTGAAACTGCTTTTATGGCTATCGGTTTATCGTTTATATTGCTTATGTTGTTTGCGATTGTAAATGTTGAAAATGAGGTTAAAAAGGAAGATGTGTTATTATTGATGGTATTTTTAGGAGTTGCTTTATACACTATTCCAGATCCACTAAAAGATAGAAAACGTTGATTAAAGAATTTACATAAATTAATTAATTAATTAATAAAATCAAAAAGAAATCAGTTTACCCCTTGTTCACTTGTTTCATCAAATATAAACTCGCCGGATCAAATTCTTCCAACATACTATACAATTTGTCCTTATAATATTCAACTCTTTTAGATTCTTCTTTTTCATCAATAATCACTTGATCTTTGTTTAGATCATCGTGATCGACATTCTCGTCAGATGAATAATCAGTTAAATCGGTATCGAAATGTTCACTTGAAGGCGAAAATAGACTTCCTTCTTGTCGACTATTACAATACAATGAGGTGCTACTATTTGATGTCATGTAGCCAGAATACGAACTACGAAATCGTAGTGCATCATCATTGACATCATCAAATATTTCGGTTTTTTTTGTTTTTGGTTTTCTGCTCGCTGTTCGTGTTCGTCTTTTTTCTCTCGGATTTCTTGGAATAGCGTTATTTTGATCATTTTGATTTTGACTTTTATTGCTTTTAGTTGATAGCAATTGATCGTTTTCGGAGTCATTGTCTGTATTCTCAAACATATTTTTTCGTCGTGGACTACTAGGTGGTGGAGATTTTCGGACATTTTCCATGTTTGAAAGTCTAGCTAGTAATTGTTTATTCTCTTCTTTCATCCGATCTATGCGAGTTGGCTGTTGTTGTAGTAGATCAGCAGCTTTTGATACATCTGATGATACTGCTGTTTCTTTTTCTTTGTTGACATTATCATTGTTGCTATTGTTATTACTGTTATTAGATTGTTTTACATTTTGTTGTGAACGCCGTTCTTGCTTTTGGTAATGATCTTCGATTATCTTCCCTTTTATAATTTCATGTACAAATGTCGTCTTTTTATTTATAATCAACTCGATTATAGAAATTGTCTAAAAAAAATAAATAAGATTAACTATTGATGATCATCAAAATAAGATAAAAAAACGTAAAATATATATACCACCAATTCCGAAATTCTAGATTTATGAACCAGTCCATAAACCAAAGTAATCAAAAACTTTGTCACAATCAAATCACCCAATTCCGGTACCACTATATCCACTAATATTGAATAAGCAATGGTCTCCAAGCACCAAAAGAAAATTCGTTTTTTTGGCATCATTTTTTGTTAGATATTTACAAATATCAAAGACTAGAGATATATAATACAATTAAGTCGTCTAGTTTTTTTTGTTAGTTATAACGATAATTTATCAATACGTTGTTATTGCTGATATTGTTTTTTGTATTGTCTGTTGATATTGGTGATATTTTTGTATTGTTTGTTGATATTGATGTTATGGATGTCTTTCTTAATAAGAAATATACTACACGATTGTTGTTATTGTTTTTACTGTTGTTAATGTTACAGAAATTGTTACTATTTGTCGTTCTTAAGGTATGTCGGTAATAATGGTGATGAAGATGGTCGTAATAAATGTCCGACTGAAGAAACGACATATGAAGGCTTAATAATTTGAATTTGTGTGTTGGTGTAAATTTGATAAGATTGGTAAATTTCTCTTTTATAATGGTAATGGCTTAATAATAATTTAAACTTTATTTCTCGCTTTGCCTCGGAAAATATAGAATAAGAAATAGATAAAGGATAATAAATTAAAGTAAGAGAGATATATATATATATCTATATATGTGAGATTAAATAGGAAAATAAATATTATAAAAATATAAAATTAATAAATAAAAAAAGGAGACCCAAGTTAACGGGTAAAGAACAGAAAAAGAGCAAATGATTATTTTATTACGAAAGACATCGTAATAAATTTATTATCCTGCGGGGGGATTTCCTTTGGCTGCGCGTGTTCGGTGTGCCTCGTGTAGTGTTTTCGTGTGTTTGTGTACCTTTTATGAGATTAAAATTGTGTGTATCCTATCATTTTATACTTATGCACTAATTGGTGCACACACATATGATTTAATCGGGTTAGGTTAGGATGTCAGCAAGTACTGCGCCACGCGGCAAAATTTAATAGATCTGCAATTATGATTTATAATGTCGGTGCCATTTATCATTAATGTTCACATTTAAAAAAAGAAAAAAGTGGGAATCAAGTAAATAATGAATTATGGTGTGATCTTAATAATCAAGTAAATGTATGGTGGTTTGGATATGATGTCAAAAATGCACAGTACGTAATGGTAATGGGAGCTACTGCAGTAAAAAATGTCATTCTCCCAAAATTGCTTAACGTTAACATCTGTATTAAAGTAATTTTTATATTAATTCACGTGACGTAAAATTAATTTTTTTAAATGAAAATATTCATTTTATGTTACAATAAGATCCAAATTTAGTAATAGGCATTAATATAACATGTATAAAGCTGTGTGACTAGATGATGTGCATTGCACGAAGGGAATTAAAGTAATCAATTATCTCCTATAATATCATCATCATACATACATGTAGACACATGAACTACATAACATCAATTTTTTAGCTCATTCTAAAAAAAGAAAAACATGGCTTACTTTCATTAATGTTAACAAAAAACCGATTTTTAAATTTACATTTTTGTTCTCCAGAAGTAGAGTCTTTAATAATGAGTCGGTCCGAAATTGAACCTGTGTGCATTCACATTTTTCATTGTTGTGTGATCCATCATTCATATTGCGATTTATTTATCCTTATAAGAAAAAATTCGATTTGGAGTCCCTATCATTGAAGAAAAACCACATACTCTGTCGCCATGGAAAGGTATTGATATGTGTTATATGGTAATACGATTGACAAGTTTACATATAACTACAAGAACCTCCATACAAGCCCCCATGATAGTATATCCTCCCCCGTACACCTGACCCTCCAGATCTGAATCAATTTTTCGAGTAACAGATCCGGAGCGGTTTATGCGGTACTTAGACATATACAAATTATTTGGAATTATATTTTTTATTAATGTTCCCATGTAAAATTATTCAAATTATAAGAAAATTATTTAACTTATTAAATATTACTGAATCTAATATAAAGTATCAGGTAATGTATTTATTTATAATACAGAATATTAATTATATAAAAATTTCTTCATAAAATAATATACAAAAAATTACAAAACTAAAATTTATTAAAATACAATATAAAATTAGTATAATACTTATATTGAAATTATAAAAAATTAATTATATTATTATTAATATAATTTTAAGTATAATTAAACAATTCATAATAGATTCTTATTAAACAATTTATATTATAACTCTTATTGAATTAATATTAATTAATACAATACTTGAATTTTTATTAATTGTAATTAGTAAAATACATATTTTTTCTTATATATATATATAAATTTTTAATTTTAATAACAAATATTTTTTTTTAGCTAGTTTAACATATATTTTTATTAGATATTTACCAGAAGCTTATTTATATTGCAAACAGTAATGATTAAAAGTAATGATTCAGAAGCTAAATTTATTAATAAAACATAATAAAAATAAAAATTTTTATTATATTTTATTAATAAATTTAGCTTTCAAGTCATTACTTTTGATTATTACTATATAAAATTAATTAATTTTATATATAATATAAATAAATTTCTAGTAAAAAATCTAAAAAATATATATATATTAAAGAATTTTATTTATTTTTTTTAAGTTAAAAATAAAAAATATTTGTTAATAAAAATTAAAAACTTTTATATTTAGGAAAAAAAATATATTTTACTAATTATAATTAGTAAAAAATTCAAGTATTATATTAATTATTAAATCAGAATATTTAATATAAAAATTTTATTATATTTTATATAATTAAAAAATATTATTTATAATATTTTAAAGAATATATTTATAGAATTTAGATATTTTATTATTAAAAAATTAATAAAAATACTTATTATTATTATTTTTACTGATAATTATATAAATAAATCTTTATAATTATTATTTTTAAAAAAGAAATTAAATAATTATAAAAATATATTTAGTTATAATTATTTAATAATTAAAAAATTTTAATTAAAAAATTTTAAAATACAATTATAAAATTAAATCAATTTATTAATAAAAATTAAAATTTTTATATTAAAATTTATAATTTTATTAAATAAAGTTTATAATTAATATCTTAATAAATATTTTTTCAGATTTTTAAATTATTTTTAAAGTTATTATAAAAAATTTTTCTAAATTTAAAATTTAATAATTTTATTATATTATTGATTTATTAAATAAAAACTTTTATTATATAATATTTCAAAATTAATATAAAAATTTTATTTAATATATAAATTAAAAAGTAAATTTTTATATTATAAATTTTTAAATATAAAATTTTTTCTTAATAAATAGAATTTTTAATTAATAAAAATTTAATTTAATTTTAACTTAATAAAATATAATTAATAAAATTTAATTTTAAGTTTAACTTAATAAAATATAATTAATATAATTATATAAAATTTTATTATTAAATAAATAAATAAAAATTATAATAATTTAATAATATAAAAATTAAAAAAATTTATTTATCAAGAATTATAAAATAAAAATAATAATTAAAATAACTTAAAAAATATATATTAAATTATAAATATAAATTTTATTTTAATATAAAAATAAATATTATTTTTTAATAAATTAAAAAATTTTAATATAAAAAAATTTAATTTATTATATTTTATAATTATATTTTATATATTGTTTATTTTTATTTAACTTATATAGTTAGTTATTTTTTTATAATTATATCTTTTTATAATTATCTTTTTTAAGTTTTTCAATTATTAATTAATTATAATTAAAAATTTTTTCTATAATTATACTTTTTTTAGTCATTTAATTTTATAATAATCATAAAAAATCTGATTATATTTTATTTATTCATTAATTATTAATTTTATATTATTATTATAATTTTTACTAAATAATTTATTTAATTATTTTAAATATAATAAATTTACTATATAATAATATTAATTATTATTTAATATTATATATAATATTTTTTTTATAAAAACTTGAATATTTAATTTAATCTTAATATAAATATTTAATAATAAGAATTTTTGAAGAATTATATTAGAATTTTTATATTATTTATTTTAAAAATATTTTTTTTATTTAAAAAAAATAAGTTTAAATTAAACAATAAAGTTTTTTATAAGAAGAATACTATATATAATGAATCTAAAATATAATAAATTAGATTTATTTATAATAAAATTCTTTAAGTATAGTAAATTTATTAATAAAATTATAATATAGTAAAGATTTGATTAAATTTTATTAATAATTTAAATTATTTATTATATCAAAAATTATTAATTATTTTGTTTGAATTATTATTTTATATAATAATTAATATATATTTTATAAATATAATAAACTTATTTATTAATTACTTAAGATAAAAAAAATTATAAAAAATATAATAAAAAATATATTAGAAATTCAAATTCATTACAGAAAAATAAAATAATAAGAATATTATTTAATAATAATATAATTATAATTTCTATTTTACTTTCTAAAATAAGATTTCTAAACTTATTCAAACTTATATTTGATAATTTTTATTATTCAAAAATTTATCATTTTAGAAAAATTATGAATATTATCAAAGTCTCACACTTTTAATATAAACAAATCAACTAATAATTTGGATAATTATAAATAAAATAGATCAAAAAGCTAATTACAAAAAAAGAATAAATCACATTAATACTATTGAAATTAAATAAAAAAATGATTAAATAAAATAATAACAAAATTGCTGCAAATAATCAGAATGAATATTAAATTAATTAAAATAAATAAAAGTTATAGTTTCTCTAATTAATAATGTTCTTATTAAAAATCAGATTTTTTAAATAATAATACGCCTTCATGCCGTCGAGAGAATCTCATAGCCTCAAATCTAATATTAATCATCATTCTCATAAATCTTAGTTAACAACTTCTTTAACCAGCTTTGAAACACTGTCCACTGAATCATTATTAGGTGATGACGACTTATCATTAGTAATTTTGTCATTTAAAACTTTCAGATTTTTGCTCTCTCCATCACTCTCGACTAACGAGTCAGCTGCAAGTGTAGTATTCGCAGACGCAAAATACTGATTCGAATCGCTGGCAACAGATGTTCCTATAAATAAGAAAAGGGAATAGTATCAAATTAACAATAATAAACGTATTTTAAAAATTAATCTTTGTAATGATAATGAGTGACAGATTAAAATGAAATTTCACAATATGTGATGAAAGAATTATACCAGTATAGCATTCAGTTATATCAAAATTAATCTGTATTCTGTATTTTACAAATTATAAGAAATTACGATAACTTTGGCCAAATGATCCACACGATCTGCATAATTTTGACCAAAAATTTCATTTTAATCTGTGGTCATCCACAATTTACGCTAAGGTTTTTGCCCCCCCAAAAAGAATGTTAAATAATTGACAAATCCCTCCCCCCAATTTAACGTAAATTATGGATGCCTCTCTGCGACAGTGAGTTTATAATAGGAAATAACAGTACCATTGCTAGTTGCTACTGATTTCCAATCGTTTGAAGCACCCATATCGTCCGGCGTTTCCAGATTCTCCTGTATCCATGGGTCCTCTAACAGTTCTTTGGCAGTCGGTCGTTCAGCAGATGACCGCGTAAAACATCTTTTCAAAAAGTCGATCCCACGTTCGGATAATTGGGATGGATCGGGAAGTGGCGGATGGCCAGACACCACGTGATACATCACTGCCCATTCATTATCGAGATTTGACCATGGACGTCGACCGGTCGCCATCTCGAGCACACAACATCCTAATGACCAGATGTCCATTGAACCTTTTCGGCCTTTTTCCTCACCTGTGATGATTTCTGGTGCCTATTTATTCAATTACAAAGGGTAGAAGTTGATTTAATGTAATTTACATTTAGAAATATAAATTATAATTTTAAGGAAAAAACGACGAACCATGTACATTGGGGTTCCCGTAAGACTGTGCACGTGTGTTTTTTGCTGTACAGTCGTCCGACCCAAAGTCTTTTGATTTTTTGCGAGGATTTTAGCTGCACCAAAATCCACAAACTTTATATTACCTTCATGGTCAAGTAATATATCTTTTTGAGGTTAAAAGAAAAAGAAAATTAATGTTAATGTCAAAATTAGCGATCTTTTTTCCTATAATTATTGATCTAAACACTCACTATCCGGTTTTATATCCCTATGAACAATGTTATTCTCATGTAAATATATTAATCCCAATAACATTTGATAAGTGTAAAACTGTATGTAATATTCAGCCTCTATACGACCATGTTCGAGCAAGGACCCCAACGATCCACCCTGACAATACTCCATAAATATATAAACTCTATCACGATGTACTTCTATTCCATAATAATTGACGATATTTGGATGGTTAAGCAACTCCATAACAGACATTTCTTCCTTGACTGATTTTACAAGTGTCGACAACGAAGACGGATCTTGAAAACGAATTTCCTTGACAGCCATAACTTCGCCAGAATCAATGTTTGTTGCTACGTATACCGATCCGAAAGTTCCACCGCCTAAAAATTTACCCTGCTGCCATCGAAGACTAATATTCGAACTGGATGACGCAAGAAATACAAGTTGTTTATTTTCAGGTTGATTGTCGTCGAGTACTTTGCCAATTAATCCTTGATCCATTTCTTTTTTCGCTAGTTCAGTCTCGAGCCTTTTTAGACTGGCCAGCCATTCAACACGTGCTACCAATGTTTCTTCGCCATCAGTTTTGGAATCGTCGTCTTGATATTGTAAAGAATATTTTGGAATGCCTCTGACTGCTGCTTCTTGTCGCTGCCGTTCTTGAGTTTCGTGTGTTGAGCGAGCACCAAGAATGTCAAAATGCGAAATAAGCAGTGTCATACAGATCGATACCTTACTTCGTAGCATAGAAAAGTCAGTTTCTTCAAGACCTAGAATGTTATTTCCACGATTTGTCGCCATAGCAAATTCCAAAGCAATAACAGCCCATCGAAATGTTTTTCTATCGGTGGGCACACAATCATCACAAATAAAACTAACCCAATCGATCGCTAACCGATTAAGCTTTATATTTAGCTCATTTCGAGCTTTGTGATGATGCATATAACGCAGGCATCGTTGACCAAATTCCGCAGCGAAGCTGAAAAAGTTTTCAATCAGTTCTTGACACTCTATACCATGGGTAATTTTACGAATATGACTGACACTTTGGATTATAGAGGTGACAAAATTATTTATAGTTTTTTTGATTTTTTGCATTTCGCGATTGACGCTTTGCACATTGGCACGTGATTCTGTGACACATTGAATTTCGACTCCTTCAACAGCGGTTCTGAACTTTTGTTTACAAGCTTGAAGACGAGGGTAAGCAGCATCAGCTACTAGTCTTGTACGATGACTCTTTAACTCGATATTGATGCCTTCCAATGATATGTTCACATAAGGGCCGTTCCATTCAAATGGCACTCTTGGTGACAGAATCAAAAGATACTTTAAATCTTCTAGTTCCTCGTCATTATCTGGTTGTTTTACGTATAGTGGGAAAACTGCTTTAAGCAACTTTCTAATCATTTCCGGATCATCTTCCAACGACGGTTCGACGACTATACATACACCGTTCTCTTCAAAAGTGTCCGGATAAACTAACACATGATTTGTGCGCTCGAGAGCTTCAATGAAGGCAGGATAGTTAACATCATCAATAAAGTAATCCGCGGAATTTTCTAGCTTTCCAAATAGAAATCTAAAGATACATATAATAATATACAAATAAAATTTAATATCTTTTCTTTTATATCGACAGGATTGGTGTATTTGGGCATATCAATATTTCGACGCATACTTTGTGAATCGTAATAATTTACGCGCCCTCAATCGTACAGTTTCCAAAATTTTGTTGTACCATTTTGTGATACCGTTTGCATCCAAATTATCAGGAAGAGTTAATTGCGATTCAAAGTATTTCATGACACTCTGAAGTAGTGTTTTAGTTAATGAACTACAATATAATGCACTAGTAAGCAAATTTGATTTGCTCGTTTTGTAATGTGTATGTAAATATACGACTAATGATGGTTCACTCATATTTAAATCCTCTTTCCCTCTTCAATTCAAATATCCCCGGATAATGAACAAACAATAGGTACAGAGCCAAGTATTTTGTTGTAGAAAAAGCAAAGAAAAGATTAGAAAAACCTCATCAGGTTGAACTTACCATACTTCTGCAGCTGTCACAGAATCACCACCACCAATTTGCTGACATATTTCACTAAGAAAAGACCATTCATATTCTAGAATTTCGGCTTCTTTAAAAAATAGGGTTTTTGCGCCATCTTTAAGTTTCCATTGCAATAATTTAAAATAGAACTTTAGTAAATCCAGTAGTACAGTATTATAATTCTCATCGATACAAGGTGGAATGTCCCACCCAGGTGCCGGTTTAATAAGTTCCAGATATTGATGTTTTATTTTACAAGCGAGCTCAAGTGATACTCGAAAATCTTCCATTTGCTGTTCAATCATCAAAATAGTTGGTTCTGATAATGTGGGATATTCGAGTAACAATTTCATACATTCTTCCATAAGCTTTGTGGGAAAGTTTAATAGTTTTTGTAGTTCATCTACATATGGGGGAAGATTCATTTTGGCAAACGCATCGGCGTTGTCAATCATAACACGCTTTGCTTTGGATAATAGTGTATGTAAAGTAGAAAGTGTCCGTTTATCAAACGTACGTTTCAATCCATTTTCTTTTAGAATTCTTTCTATGAAAGGTGAATTTTCAGCATTAGCTGGTGCATCCTTTGGCCGAGCTATTTCAAGCGTTTCACTTCCGGTCCAATTTTGTAGAATCTTTAGTTGCGTCTGCAAACTCTCTGTAATTGTGAGCCAGGAATTAAGCGCGTCCAAACTATATTGAAATTCTTTTGACTTATACAGTGATTTTTCATTCATCATTGCCCTACGCGAAGGATACAAATTCTCACATCGACGCACTTTTTTCAAAATGTTTCCTACTTGATCTAAAGCCGATACATGTCCAGGCTTTACCTTGAAATCTATTACTTCCTGAAGAACGTCATCAACATGCCGTCGCATCTCATCCACAATAGATTTTTCTTCGGTAATCAAATGGCATCGCGTGATTGCACGGACGCCAAGCCATATTTGATAATTTATGCTTGCGGCTTCTTCTGAGTTCGAGCCAGAAAGGCGCCTTTTTTCTGATTTGATTACCTCACCGGTGAGCACAGACGATAGCATACTCTGCCAAGCGATTCGCTCTTTTTTCGCGTCACCTGTTAGAGTGGCACCATTAGCAAAAAGGTTATCAAAGTATTCGTTATTATCAACTTCTGGTTCATTGGGAAATCCGCCCATAGAATAGCCAGGCGACTGGATATCTTCAGAATCATCTGATCCTGATACCGATTCGTAGTATTCGTCACCATCGTCCTCCGCTTTTTCTTCCTTGTCCTCACGATCTCGCCCATTACGTGCGAAATAATGATCACGATATTTTTTCCTTGAATTGGACCATTTGCTCTTTGAATGATTTACTGTTTTTTTTTTATTACTATTTCTTCTTGACTTTTTATTATTAGTAGTGGTAGTATTAGCGGAAAAATGAGACCTGGCATCTTGGTCGTCATCCTCTTTAGTATTGAAACGGACAGATGGTTTCATGGTTCTTAAAATCAAAATCAAAAATCACTCGTTGTAAATGGTAACGATTTAGGATTTCTCACTGTGACTAATCATAATTATCAATTTCCCACAAGTGTCGTGTCTCCATACTCCTAGGGAGAAATTGGTTAAATCACGTGAACATGAACTTATTTCGTGTATGCTGCGCCACGCCAAACAATGAGATCATTTAATCGATTATTTTCTTTTTATCATTTAGTTAGTTTATAATAGTCCAAAAATATTATTCAAATATCTATATAACTAAATTACTAATAAATTTTATAATTATTATAATGTGATTTAAGAATGAGAAGAGGAATTATTTTACTTGAAAGTATTAAAACTAGAGGATTAAAAGAGGTTAAGAAAAGAATGGTATAGATTTAGAGAAAA